ATGAAGCTGTGAGTTGCCCTGCTGGAATGGTGTCATGGCTGAGAGAAATCACAGAAAGGGCAGCAGGTGAGGTCCTGGGTCTGGATCAGCGTGGTGCACAGTGGCAGGTGGCCATCAGTCATCACTACAAGTAGAACTCAGAAGCCATTAGACATGTGAGCCTAGATCTTGACACATAGACCTTTCCATCTGTCCTGGTGAGGCGTTGTAACTCCTGGCACATCGCTAATGGACTGAGTTTGGATGGAATATCTTGCCGGGTTAGAAATTGCTGGCTATGAAAATCTAAGACTCCAGCCTACCAATGGCACAATGCCATTCTTTTGCAAAGCAGCAACACAAAAACTCATCTCTTGCACATGTGAGACTCCCCAAAGCAAACTGATCAGAGGTGATATTGTTCTGAGAATCTTTTTTTAAATACAGGAATTTCTCTGACCCGATCTTCGCAGTACTGAAGTCTTTTTTTTTTAATCGCATGATATTTTGTTTCATTGAGAATAAATAACATTGATATTATGATGCAGCTTTTGCACAGGCACGTTTGTTTGCATCTTGAGAATATTCAGGGGGAAAAGAAAAATAACTGCATTTTTTCATTATCTTTTGCATCACCAGTTACTGAGTGATATAGAGCAGATATGTTAATATCATGCAGCATTGGGACTAATGCAGCATTAGGACTATCATAAAAACACTTTGCGCAGCTATTTTGGGAAGTATGTTTTTTCAGTTCCTTTTCCATATTTACTACAGAATTGTAAACTGTATTATTTTTCCTTTTACTCTTGGGGAAAAAAAGAAGACCCAATAGATGTTCTTACTGATGTTGTTTAACCTTTTATGGTCTTTTGTGACTTGAAAAATTCGATGAAGTCTGAATCTGGGCATCAAGGAGAGGAAGGGCAAATTTCCAGTGAACAGTGACACTTGACTGCAAAATCGAGATGGACAATGGATGGACTCCCAAAAAGTTAGATGTCAATAGTGACCTACAACCTGTGAGAACCTCTTACTTTTTATAAACAATAGCCAAACTCCAAAGGATCTTTGGCAAACTAAAAAACATTAAGTTGACTCAGATGTCTTTAGAGCTACCGACTAACTCCAAATGCTTTGCCTTTGGAACCTGTTTTGAGTAATGTAGAAGGAACAGTTGTAATTACCATTCTTTCTGCTGGGAGAAATTCACTGAGAGGAGTTTAGTTTCATAGCCTTTATAAGTACCTCTTCCACAGGGTATATATTTACATATACTGTATACATACAATTTTAAAACCTAATTGTGTGATAGCCTTCAGCTACTGTATGTCCTTTTCACAGTTATAGCACAAATAAAGTTATTTTAAAGCAGTGCTATAGATTGCACAATAAAACAGAGGGCATATTGAGGGCATATTACCTTGTGTTGTCAGTCTTTGATTCCTATAAGTTAAAATCTTTACCATTTATGAGCCTCTTATCTGCACAAACCTTTGGACTTTGTTTTCTCCTTCGGTTCATCAAGTCTGTTGAGCACACAATTCATTTAAAGAGAACATTTCATTTACACCACCAAAGATACCCCAGAATTGCTATTCGTTTTCCAGATCGTTGTTCTATTTCTTGAATCATTTTATTTCTTAATGTCAAATGTGAGTAGTACTGTATAGTTTTAATTGTCTGGGGTGGGGGCAGGGCTGTAAGTTTGTTTAGCATTTTAGGACCATTAGTGTTCTAGTCGTTTAAAATATTTTCTAGCTCTTGAATGCAGTTTTAATTTCAGATTTGTGTGTCAGAAACACCTTAAATGCCGTAAAAAAAAAACAGAACCAATCTAAACTGACATACTGCTTCATCTTATGTCTTTATTCACAGTTAAAACTATTGTGCATACACTAGCCAATCGTAATTTAAAAAGGAAAATTCAAACCTTCAGAACTTGTACCATGTCCAGGAACATTTAAACACAATCTACAGTATGTATGAGGTGAGATCTCCGAGATAGTTCTGATTGCAGCTTCATATTGTATTAAACTTCCGGACAGTCACGGACGAGTTTAGGGTTTAGATATAGAGATGCGTTTTCTGTTTTGCTCTTGCGTGTCGATTCACACACATTCCTACACATTTCTTTCTGGCACGTTTATTTTTCTGATTTAATGCTTCAGGAAGCAGCCTAGCCTGTGACCTTTTTTTTTAAAAAAAGAGAGAGATGGGGTCTCTTTTCTGTGTGTCTTCTCTCTCAGCGGAGCTTTCTGCAGCATGCACAGAAAACAGATCAGGAGCTAGTCTTCCCCACACCTGACACCTTTTTCCTCCACTCTTATTGGTCTTTTTCAGTTGGAGGAGGAAAGGCATTCCCAACATTCTTTCCTGAGAACCAACCAATTGAGAAGATTGGCCTCCTATGTCTTCTCCTCCTCAACTCTGGAAACGGAGCAGTACCCTCACCCAGGCGGCACGTTCCTCCAGCGCAGTCGTTCGGCTGAGAGCAGCCCCGCTCGCATTCCTGGCAGAAGGCACATGCCACTCTTGCCTGGGAATTCAAGACCTAGGCATTCCCTCCTCAGTGCATCCAGGTTACAGGTTCAGCAAGTGTTGTCCAAATTTAGGAACAAATCATGAGCTGACCCCCCCCCCCTGCCCTGTGAACTCTCCAAGATTTTTGTAAAAAAAAGCAGAAGGAGGATCTAGTTTTTTTTTCCCTACTCGTGCAATAAACTTGGTCTGCTCTGCACATCCAAACTTCAGCGCCGTACATGAGCCCAAGAAACGAATAGTGAAATTCAATACCATTGGGCGGGTAGCTCGACCCCCTGACAAACGCTGGCGTGCTGCTGTCGAGATGGTATCGTTTCAGTATTGGTTTCTGCATGTGTAAATAGAAAGGAGGAAACCACCACTGTTGAATTCACACAGGACATTTTCAGTTGTAAATATTTGAAAAGTACATACTGTACCTGCATTTTTTTGGGGGGGAAGATTCTGTGGCATTCAAAGTCAGCGTTTATGGTTTTATTCAGTTCTTGCTTTAAGGTCTCACTCAGATGCACTCAGCTCGTCCACCTCACGAACAGTAAATGAGCCACAGGGGCATTCTGCATATTGCACATTTTGTCTAGTGCTTTTTGTTGCCTATAATTACAGAGTAACCACAATTGCCTATGCGTTCTAAGCTAAAACCTTTGTTCTTTGTGCTTTTAATTACTATTCTGTGAAGGATAAGGCTGTTACTTGGATGTTTGTCTGAAGAATAATCACACCAGGTTGAACAGTAACCTTGGTTGGTGGTGATTCAACACTGTCAGGCTGCTATCATTCTGCAAAAAAGCAACACAGCCATGCAAATAATGTGAAGCATTCAGAAGTGAAAATCAGTGTGTTGTTCATGTTGTGAATACAGTACCTAAGAATGTCGCATATCACAAAATTTTGTTTGATACTGTGTTCTGTTGTACAGTGTAAAAAAATCACAAACCCTTATATTCACTGAGAATCCCTTAATAACCTCTCAGTTAATTAATGATAACAGGATGGTATGGGAAACAAGGTGTGTCACTGTAGTCTTCCAATGCTTGAGTGGTTTTAAAAAGGAGGTTTTATTATATAGTTATCCAGCAGAAAATCAGTAGGACACAGGCTGACTTTGTGTTCAGTAAACCTTGTGTAAAAAGATGATGCTGCTTTTGCATTGCTTAAGTTTAAGAAGCATTTGTTAATGGTGACTATGGGATCTCTACATGTACGTGCTGACAATAGGGCCTAAACTGCAGCCTAACGTATACTGATTAAGCAACAAAGAAGATGCAGTGTGTAAACCATAGGTGCTCTGACATGGCAGAAATCCATTTTAATGATTTTTATTTTTTCACAGAGGGCATCACAAGGATATGTTTTGTTTTGCACAATTCAGTTCTGCTTTTATTTCATAAAGTGCTAAAGAATTTAGTGGTTTCAAGAAGATCTTAAATAGTGCTAGAAAATTTTCGAATAAATGTCCTTTTTGTTGGATTAAGTAACCGAGAGTGCACTTCAGCTTGATATACAATAAATGTTATTTTGTCACATTTATTAAGAGGGAAACTCTTGAATAACATTTTAAATATAACCACGACCTCTGGCTCTCTATCATTTTACACGCTTTTCGTAACCAGCGCTGCCAGTTATTTTATAAAGCACTTTTTGTTGCAGTTGACCAAATTAGAAGCTAACTGGAACAAAGCCATTCAATGAAGGAAACAAGAGCAACAGTTACAGAAATTCTAAAGCAGGCTGGCATTGCCCCTAACCAGTGGTCACTTACTGCATCCCTATAGCCATAATGTATGTAATTATGATACAAACAGGAAGTCTGTTTTGAATCTGTTTTGAATTAGTTTTTTAGTTGATGTAGGCCACATTTCAAGTCAAACATGACAACAATAATTAAAGCCATGAACCTGTGGTTTTGAAACATCACACCTGTCTTCTCCAGGGTCATGTTCCCTTCTTTAATTGCAGAGTCATTCACTTGACGGGCCTCTTTAAGCTCTTTGAATGTAGACACTCTCACGTGTGGGAACATACTTTTAAGAATGAAATATCAGTTCACTGCCCCCATCAAAGACTGTAGATTACCTCACTACTGCTACTACTGTTTGTAGCAATGTGGGAGCGGTTTGAAATGGCTGCAATGCACAGGTGCAGTTTTACGATTTCAGCTGTCATAGATATTAGTGTTGAGAACTGAAGTTTGGATCTGGTAGTTTCAGCAGTAACAAGCCGAAAGACCTTACTACTGCTACGTGTGATGAACATGAAGCCATGTTCATCACATAACATGGAAGAAACTTAGAGAAAATGCAGTTTATGCAAAAACACCAACCTAAAAGCCATATTTGGGCAGCAAATACCAAATGTTTAAAGAAGCTGGAATAGAAGGCTGGAAAAATACTGACTTTCACACTAATGATATTGTGTTCCAATATTTACTGTCACTTGAAATCAGTAGGGTGAAAACAAAGTATGTGTTAGTTCTCTTATGATCAATATCTACATGGAATTACCCAAAAACAAAACATATTGCATTGTACTTACCGTTCATAATAATCTCATGATGACAAATACAAATTGCTCGCCTATGAAGCAAGAATAACAGTTTTGACTTTGCTGTCCCAGTATTTCAGAGGGCACTGCAGATTGGATTACAAGAAAATAAAATTAATAAAATTGTAATAAAGGATTGCACATTAATGCCGGTGATGGAAGTGCAATGAAACGTACCGCATAAACACACAAGAAATTAAGCACTAACTGCCAAAACAACAGCCAGCGCATTCGGGTGATGCGAGTATTGGTTCATATCCCTTCTGCTGTAGTTTTCTTATCAACACAGGAATTCATCAAAACCATAAACACAAGGGACTTTGCAAGAGTGATAGAGTTTGTGGAGTGCTGGCAGGAATCTCTTTTAAATACACTCATTCAGATCCATGTGACCGAAACTGATTCAGAACATGGGTAATTTAAAAGACATGCAGAAAACAAAAGTCAGAGATAATGAAGTTCAGCTTCTGTATTTAGGTGGAATTAAGGGAACCATATTTGTATACATGAAAATTGAACCATTTTTGTGTAGTTTTAATTATTATAAATTACAATAATAATCATCATTATTATTATTTTAATTGTTTCCTTTTGATTGTACGTGTACAATGTGTCAGGATTGTGAAGAATGATATTTGATATGGTTCCTACTGGGATATACAGTATAACATATGGGCTACTGTATTACTTGGTGATATGCTGTTGGTTTGACAAGTTGGCCTAATTTATCATTTGAGTTTTGAAGACTGAATATGTTCAGTAGCATTCATCTCTAATTTGTGACCGCAGAATGGGTGATAAATCTCTATATTATACAATTTAAAGAATATACATTTGGATTCTGGCAGTTCCTTATACCAGAGGTGTCGAGTCCTGGTCCTGGAGGGCCAGTTTTATCTGCAGGTTTTCTAAGTCACTTTAAAGCACCAGCACCTGAAGCTGTTATCTCAGTCCAGTTAAGCCAATATTGGGCTGATTGAGGTCATTTAAAACTGATCTAAAATGAAAACCTGCAGTCACACAGCCCAACAGGCCCAGAATTTGACACTCTACCCTACTCTGTTGTCTTTCCACATTGATCAGTAATTAAATAGGATGCGCTATGTGTGTTCTTAGTTTTGTCTTGCATTCCTTTTTACATGTGTTCTCTTTGCTTCTTTGTGTCCTTAGATTGCTTACTATTCTGACCACTTGAAAACCTGATTTGTGAATCTAAATGTGGTGTAATAATATGTCCAATGGCATTTCGTCGTGGAGGAATAGGCGTGTTTTAGCACTGAACTGGGTCCCCACATCCTTTGTTTCAGTATCCTTTCATGAGGGCTGTCAGAACAGAAATTTCTACAGGAGTGGCATGCTAGCAGGCACGAAAAGCATGAGACAGCCCAATTGAACACATGTAATAAGATGCAGAACTATATGTGGAAGATTTTAACACTGCTCATTTCAGAGTGGTAAAATGGTATGAACCCATTCAATACCTTTCAGGTCCTGTAATTGTTAAAAAATGCCAAGAGTTTTAAGACACCTAGACAATGCAGGTTTATGTTTATATCTGCTAACAGGCATTGTTTATTGCAATAAGGCAGCAATAGATGAACATGTCTTTAAAGAGATATATGAAAGGCCAATTTTAACACCGCTTTACCATTGTTCAAATGTCACAGTGCTGTGAAAACTCTCTCTTCTGAAATCGTGATGTTCTTAAATGTTCAATGTAGTTAAGAAGCGACAAAGTTTACACAAATATATATTTGCTGATGAATTCGGAGAGCTAGTCTGAGATGTGTAATATGACTGCATATCTCAATGTGACTGCTGTGATACTGTATGTAATGACGATGTCCTTGAATGATAAACCACTGGAAAGTGTGATCACACTGAAACTGAGTGTGAATCGAACCTGCACTAAGAGTATTTGACCATGTCATCACAAGATCATTTACTAACACTAGACACTTTGTAAACTGAACTTTTCATGCTGCAGAGGGGTAAAAAAGCTGTGATATGCTTGTCATCTGCACATACCCAGAGTTCAGATTATAATGTGCATCATTGGCAGTTCACAAGATGTTTGTGATAGGGTGCAATATACAGTAATTATCTCCTTAAAAAGCCGCTAGTGATTAAGAATCTTTGATAAACACTCACATGTTGTCTTCCTACAGGATTTATACACGTATGAAGAAGGCTATGCAGATGTCAAAGGCTGTGTTCGCAAAGAATTCATAAATGAAACTTTTTTTTTTATATAATCCCCAGATGAGTAGCTTTGTTACAGAACTATAGTAGCAAATAAATGCCGCATGATTGTAGCTGACTTATAAAAACATCTTTATTGTAGACTTTACTGTAGACCTAGCGTTGAACTTGATATAGTGGTGAATTCTTTGTGAACCCAGCTCCACAGATTTTATGTCCAAGCTGTATTTTAACCTGTCTAGAGAAAAGATTATATGCTGGTCTTTATGTATAAAAATGGGGAATAGTACCAGCAAAAG